ACGTCTACAAATACGCTCAAATCACTTAAAAATATCCACACTTTCGTGGCATAGGCACACTAAAATATGACCAGCGTTTTTCCGAAAAAGGAATTTCACTAGAATAGATAACGTAAATTTATCGAGTCTATCGAGAATTGTCTATCAAACAAGCACCTATCTTAGCACAAGCGAACTGTATACGAACTTATGCAGGCTCTGAAACTACTAAAAAGGTCTCGTCTAAGGAATGCGAACAGATTCTTCTGAGGAAAAGCCGACGAATGGAAGAGCGGAGAAGATAAAAKACTCTGTGTTTACAGCCTGTCATGTGACTATCAAAGACCGGCTTGCTGATGATCAATTTTTTCATGATATTTATGCTGAGTACACTGTTTTTTTATTATTTTTTATTCCAGGAAGTATTTTTTGCTTTGCGCCTTTTGATAGTATGACTATTAACTTTATTAAGGTTCAATATAGTGCAATTCTTCTCAATTCTTCGACTACAACACTCATTGTTGTCACTTCATCGTTTTATGATATATTCAAGCAGAACCCCGAGTTCACGCAGCTATGCGTCTAGTTATCTAGGGGACCAACATCAAGAAAAAAAAAACAGTTTTTTTGACTGCAGAGAGCTGAAACTGCAGAGAGCTGAAACTTCGCATAGATGTGTAATAAATTAAGAACAACACATTGTGTGAGTTTGAATTCATTTTATGAAGATTTCCTACTTTTATTGAATTTTTCGTTTTTCCCCGCAAGACCTTCAGAGAAAAGCCGACAAGTGTAGTGCTTGGGCTACCTGTGGCTCCAGGAGCGTCTAGTTTCTAATCAGATTCTATGGGCTTCCTTTGCAATCAGCCATTTTGTTGTGACGTGTCGGAATATGCGCGGAAGAGAGTGCGCATTGCAACCGTCCTGAGGGAAATACGGTACAAAAATAATATCGTTCCGCTATTCTTGAATTTTCTGCTTCAGATGGTAAATCCATAAACCCTACTGATTAGAAAATTAATTTTTGGATAATTATTTTAGTATAATCGCGTTTGAAGAATGAGTGTTAACATAGGAATCGTAGTTATGATTATGGCAATGTGGACGCCATGTCGATCCTTCTATTTGCCTGGTCTAGCCCCTGTTTCGTATTGTCTAAAAGAAAACGAAGAAAAAGGCTGCAAAGTAAGTATTGCAATTGATATCTTTTTAGTGTTTGTTAGTGCTATCGAACTTTTCTTTTCAATCAACCTCTTTCATAAGAAGCTTACTAAATAATGTCGCCAATTTATGATTGATGTCAACTTTGTCAAACTCCTCAGATCAAGTTCAATTTTAGTAAGTTTTAAGCTTGCATTCTCGATTTTCTGAGTCAAGCCTATTTTCTTTGAAAGATGTCTGGTGAKCTACATATTGATTCTTCTGGGCCTTTGTACCCCAGTCAGTTGAAACTCCGGCCATTTAAGATGGATGACATGTAAGACTTMAATGAAACGAATGAAAACTTTATAGCCGGGGATTTACAGCATCCRTTCTCTTACAAAAAAGTTCTTTATGTCAAAATTATTTAGCTTTCGAGGTTAAGTTTCGCTGTTAATGTCGGATTAATAGCATCTTTTGTTGATATCAATTCATATGTCCAAACAAGCSGTGGAAACCAAATGGAACAAATTGCAATGTTGAATATGATGGCTATCGCGTGAGGGCGAGTGAGATTTTCTTCTGTGCCGAAGTTAGGTTGAAATCCCTCTAATTAACAATTAGACTTTATATCAACATTGCATCCTCAGTTCTTTAATTTTTACCATTTTTTTGAATTGTCATTATTGTCCATTATAAGTTATTACCAAGCCTGTATTACATGAAGAGATATTAGTAAACRAAGACTATCAACACAGGTTAGCAGTCAATCATACATATCACTGCAAATGATTCTTACTTGATTTGTACATGGCTTGAACTCATAACCACCCGAGCTAACCCTAATGGTGAAACTTAACGTTGAAAGTCAAAGAAAGTTGACATAAAGAACTTGTTTACGTGCTCCCCCAGTCTAGTTGCACGCTTTTCAAGATGTCGCTGTTAATCTTGATTCGGTCTATTCCTCTAGTATTGCCAGAAGCAATCAGACATGCCTAATAAGTTTGTTGTAAAAACTTTTCATGAACAATCCTGGACAAAAAAGGTTGACATTATTGCTGTTGCAGAGTAGCGTGCCTGAAGCACKCTAAGCAAGACAGCAATCCTAATTCAGAAAATATGTAGTTTCTGTACACAAACGTACAGAAAGGTCAGAGCTGATATTGATGTTATCTACCCACAATCAATTGCTTTCGCTGCTAGAAMAATGGATTTCTTTGTTTTCGCTGTCAAAAAGTTTATGTCACTTCTATTGTCATGCACATCAGGCGCTAACTATAAATATTCACCACATGTGGTACCGTTCTCACCTTCTTGATATTGTGGATTATACCATGTCACTAGATTGAAGTCATTGAGCATGTGAAAAATAAACATCTGAAGACACAAACGTCATTGTCAAATACAAAACAATGCCACAAAACTGAATACGGCATAAATGTAATATCTATTTACAGGTCTATTGACTTCAAGTAGAAAAACTTTTAAAACCYGATCCTTTTTAAAATGTTGGTTTGCATATGAATGACGTGGTTTGACCTCGAGTTACAAACATCTAAGTGTTTACGTTTTCCAGTTTTCATGATCAAGCTCAAAAACATTCATAACAAGTTCTGTCCACGATGTCAAAAGTAGCTTTTTATATGGAGTGCTATTTTTTTTGTAAATGAACTTTTAAAACTCATCCAATAACCCATGACCTCTAAAAGTTGTCATCCACTCTGCAGGATTCACACTTTCTTATTCACACATTGTGTACACAAGTTACTATGGCAACACTGGTCTCAAGCTGATCRCAGCAAAAACGAACTTGAGGCTTGTTAATGCTAGTGTTTATGATTACTAATCACATTTTTTGAACTTCAAATCCAGTTTTTGAAATAAACTGAATACATGCAAGGCAGCACTCAATAACTTTAAGTTAGGCTAGTTTCTAAATACCATTGCTGCCATACACTTCCATTTCTTCTCATTGCATTAGTGCACTACAAGAGGTCCTGTTTGGACAATGTTTTTCAAATTCAGTCTTCTAACAGTTGTTTAAAAAGAACATTGTGGATGGAGAGGCCTGCAGATCACGTATAAAATCATGAAACACAAAATGTGTATTGCATTGGAAAGTATCAACTTCTTTTGTTCTAAATTGGAGATTTTATGAGCAGCAATTGTTTATATAGCCTACTAAACTAACCTATTTTGTATTTTAGGCCAGAATAGACTTATATGTCAATCGTTTGGATTCAGTGGATTCAGTAATACCCTTTGAATATTCAAGGTGAGTATTGTCTTTTCAATATAATGCTTGCTTGGTAGTTTTGGAATAGAAAGTGTCAAGTGCAAAAAAGAAGTAAGTTTGCTGAAAATGGCTGAGATGTTAAATTTAAAAGTGCATCAAGAAAGTTCCATCTACACCACTATAAATTGTGCATACAAGGAAGTCTTAGTCAAGTCCAGTTATTAACRTAATGATATCTAAATAACACGTAAAAAACGAGATCGAGCATTCAGTTACAAAACCCAGTCAAATCACCTTTTCATTGTAATATAGATTCAGCAATGCTATTGATGCAGACAAGTTGTTCTAAGCAATAAACTTAGCAGTGATCAATTTAGCAAAACATATGCCACAGTTTTGCACATATTGCTGACTAATATATTTCTTATACTTTAGATTATCAAGGTCACAAATATTTTTATATCAGCAGTAATACACCAAGATGTGTGGTAATAATTGGGATAATGACTACGTTAATCTGATTTTCAGCTTTGATTTCTGTCAAACCAAAGAAAAAAGTTCTCCATCTGAAAATCTTGGCCAGGTAAGATTTGAGTGGGACTTTAATATACAGGCCATTTTATTGAAGCAATCTAGTTTGGCATGTCTATCTTGAAGAAGGATATGACAGTCATTAACAAAACATGCCAAACTAGATGATCTCAGATCGTATATGTTGTAGTTCAGGTTCAATATGATTTTGAACCAGTTCAATTTCTTCTGAACTGGTTCAGTTTATTTTGAGCCAGTCCAATATAACTCAATCCAGTACAGATCAGTTTAGGGTTAGGTTTAGGGTTAAGTTTTGRGTTAGGGTTAGGTTTAGGGTTGGGAATAGGATTGAGCCAGCATTATATAAAAATTTTCTTCATTAATAAATTACAATTAAGATAAAAACAATTTGCGAACATTACTACCAACAAAATCCTTGATGGTATAATTGGTAGTACTGTGGACTATGAAGCAAGAGTTCAGTGGTTCAAACCCTGATGAAGGTAAGTGTTATTCATAAATTAAAAAATATAGAAAATATCAATATTTCTGTGGGGTATAGGATAAGATAAAGTAGGAAATAGTAGAAGGTAGAAAATAAGATGATAGATAGAAAATGGGAGAGAATGAGATGGGATATAGTTCTGTTAGTTCTTTTAAGAATGCCAAAGCGAAAAAAAAAAAAAAAAGACCAGTACAAGAAGTCTTGTACTGGAACAAATTAGATTAAACTGGTTCAAAAATATATTGAACCTGAACTACAACATATATATGACTCACCAGAAGAAATCACTTCAGATATGTAAATTATCAAACAGAAGCTTTCATTACAAGCTCTTCTTTGGTATTTAAGTCACATGCAAGTCTTTCCTTTGTTAAGATTCTTGACTTGATGTTAGCTATGGTACTTTCATCAGTTGCATTGTGTTGTCTTGAGTTGTCATCTTGATTTGGCTAATTGGAAGTTGGTTATAGCTAAATGATATAGTTCTTGAATTAATTTTATGAAGAAGAGTTTATGCATAGATCATATTATGATGTTTAATTTTCATATTTATAAATTGCAAAACAATATGCTGAACATTATGTTGTTCAACTAATAACTAATGTTATGATTTACTGGACAAATGTACAATCAACAAGTAATGCTCTTAAATGGAAAGTCACTGCCAAATATAGCAGTGTGAAGACATTGAAAAGAACCTCTAATTAAAAGGAAAACATACTGTTTCAATACATGTTGTTTCTCAGTTGGGAGGGCACTGTTACAGAAAACTCGATGTGCATCTTATTTTTTTAGGTTGTTTTTGGGGACAGAATCACAAAATCAGCTTACAATGTAAGTTTTGGTTAATATTTAATTGTTCTACAGTTTGACCTCTATTAAGCAGTCCTCCCTGACGAAACACTAGGTGATGGCTCAGGGACCGCGGAGCAGGGGGGGCTGGGGGGCTACAGCCCCCCCAATAATATTTCCGACATTTTTAATTTTCTTAAATAAAGAAGCAAAGAGCCTCCTTATGAAGTCTTTGGGGTTTTATTGATAATATTGCTGACTGTGTATGCGGTAAATATGTCTTGGATAACGCCTCAAAACGCTGGAAATGGCATTTCCGAGAGTTAAGATTTCAGAAATTTCCGACCCCCCTAGTACCTCCTCGCCGCTAGCCCCCCCAAACAAGATCCTGCTCCGCGGTCYCTGTCGCTTTATAGAGTTTGAGGGCTTTCTTTAAAGCCAGGTGTTCAGTARGATGAATTGACTCAAAGATAGATTATAATTTAATGGCTGAGTGGATATTAGTCACAATAAAAATATGAATACTTATGGATGATCTTTTGTATTTCAGCTAACATTTAAAGTTCCCTTGGCATGCCAACTGTTATGTACCAAAGAATATAAATCCAAGGATGTTAATGATATGAAAAAGCTAGAGTTTTTGAAAAATGCCATTTCACTCAACTACCAAAATCACTGGTATGTTTCTGTATTTCTCATTCTTCAATCGTTTAATATGATTTCACAGCCCTCTGCTGGATTCCTGTAGTTTTTGGATCAACTTATATACAGAACTGAACACCATCATCTTGCTAGTTTTCTGCTGTCAAAAAAAAAATCAGATTCCTGCTTCACATTAGTAATGCCCAAATAATAAGAATTATCTAAACTTACATAACAATTAAGCTTATGGTATCTACATGTATACATTAAAAAAAAAAGAGACAAAGGAGGTTCAAAATTTTTATGGTCAAATTATGGTTTGTATTAGCTCATCAGTGTTAATCAATCTAGATTAATAGTGTTAATTATATAGTCCAGAAACCCACCTTAAAACCCTTCTACCTTAATTTGAAATGGATGCCAAAATAGACATACAATCAAGGTTTTAGGTACTGTATTCACTTGTTGCAGAAGCTTACAATGGGATCAAAATGCATGAGTGCYGTACATTTCTTTTGCCCCATCCTCAGAAATATTCAATTYGTCAGTTGAAAACKTTTTGCTTGATTAGACTTGACGTCTTTACCCTTTTAAAGTTCTATAAACTAAACAAAAGTCATATATGCATGAAGAAACATCCTCTAAATATGAAAATGAAAATATTTTGYTAATGATCTATTTATTTCTGAGCATAGCACAGTCCTGTATATTTCAATCTCCTTGTCTATTTCTGCTTGAATTGCATAGGATTATAGACAATATGCCTGTGACCTGGTGTTATGATGTTACTGATGAAGAAAGAAAGTATTGTTCTACCGGTTTTCCTATTGGCTGCTATGTAACAGCTGATGGCCAAGCTAGGGATGCTTGTGTTACTAGTGTAAGTAGATATCCCTAAATTTTGAGTCTTGCAGAAAAATATTGAGTTGGTTATTCATGATTACTAATCACATTGATCAATTTATGTTTTCAGACTAAGTTTAACCAAGCTGACACCCACTATGTCTTCAATCACGTTGATATAACTATTACCTATCACAATGGGCAAGGGGAAGACTGGGTGGGAGCTAGACTTCTTTCAGCAAAACTTATTCCTAGAAGGTAATGTCAACACTCGAAAATCAATGGTTAATTGATTGTTTAATGTTGATGCAATGAGATAGAGTCAATTTTGTATGAGTGGGAAAYGGATGGTACTGTACTGTAACCGTAATCCTACTGTAAYCAAATTCTAGTGTCTCATTGCTTCACAAAAATTGCACRGGCCAGGTCCGGTGACTGTGCAGTAACTGTGCGGTATTTTCTACCATGTTTCCCACTCATACGAAATTGACTCTAACATATGATATATTAATAAGTTTTAAATACTTTTTATGTAGCTAACTTGTATTTCTTTCAGTATCAAGCATGATAAGCCCACTGAATGTAATAATGAGAATGTTATGGGGATCCCTAACAAACTGAGTGGTGATCTGAAAATCCATTATACCTATTCTGTCAAATTTGAGGTAATAATTGTTTAGATCTTGTTTGTTAATGTCTTTCATGCATTCATGTCTTTGTTTTTATTTTTGTCACAGGAGAACAATAGTCTGAAATGGGCATCTCGATGGGATTACATCCTACAATCAATGCCACATACAAAGATCCAGTGGTTTAGGTATTGTACAGTATATAACATAGAGAGCCAGTTATATTTTTCTTTTTTTATATATCTTTATTTCACTTTGCATTATGTAATAGGATTGTTCTCCATTCTTTGTTATAGTATAATGAACTCCCTTGTCATTGTACTCTTCTTGTCTGGTATGGTAGCAATGATAATGTTGAGGACGCTCCACAAGGACATTGCAAGATACAACCAAAGTGATGCTGGGGTGAGAAAATTTAAGATATTAAAATCTTTGATGACAATACCATTTCGATCTTTTGACACTACATACAATTTTGTCGTTCTAATGACAAGTATTTCTCGTATTATATGGTATTTCATAATCCCAAGGAAAGTATTACTTGTTTTTAATGATAGCACATTATTTTGCTGTGTGTTTCTGGCATTTTGGATTAAGAACTCTGGAAAAGTACAAAGGTGTGATTCTGCCCTTGTTTTGCTCAAAATTACACTGAATAGACCTAATCAGCTTACCAACCAATTCAAATCCTSTGGGAAAAAGGACTTTTGTTTCTAAGCATTCAACTGTGAAATGAAAATACGAACAATAAAACTTATTCCCGGGTAGTTTGAATTGGGCAAAAATGTTTAGCAATGCATTATCTGATTAGGTCTATTGCACCTCCTATATTTTCACATTTTTTCAAGATTTTTCAAGAAATAAACAGTAAGTAACTTGAAATGATATAAAACATTGCTTGTGAATACATAAGCAGAAACTTGCCATATTTTTGACTGAAATTGGCAGTAAAACAGCAGATCTTGGATAAAGTATACTGATTTTTTTGTTTAGGAAGATGCACAAGAGGAATTTGGCTGGAAGTTGGTCCATGGAGATGTGTTCCGTGCACCAAGGAAAGGAATGTTCTTGTCTGTTTTGTTGGGCTCAGGATCACAGATCTTCATCATGACATTTATTACTCTGGGTAACCCAACTTTCTTTTCCTATCTCATACTGTATTTATGAGAAAACATTGTGAATTTTTGGTTTTGTTGGTTTTGCTCTTATAGTGTTCGCWTGTCTTGGATTTCTATCTCCTGCTAACCGTGGTGCTTTAATGACCTGTTCGTTGGTGTTGTTTGTATGTCTTGGTTCCCCTGGAGGTTATGTATCAGCAAGGATTTACAAAAGTAAGATGTGCTACATGATGAAATTATTAATTGGCTAAAGTTCTWACATAAATCTACCCYTATGACAGGAGGTATTGATTTTAGACCTCYCCCTCTCCCAAGAAATTCTGTTATTACCCCCTCCCCACTGGAATAATTCCAAAATGGTGACAACTGGTAACTAGTGCTGATAAAATGAATTCTATCAAATTGCAACTAGTTAAAGGTCACATACGTGAAGTTTTAGTATAATTGTATATGAAGTGGACTTTCTATATTTGGTCATCGAAAGACATGGAAAGGCATGAAATTGCTAGCTTAGCATATTCTTCCAAAAATTCAACAAGAAATTGAACAAAGAGATTTTTGCTTTAAAGCACTCTAAAATTACATGTTGATGAGTGAATTCAGGATCAGTGTTTCCTCTTTTAGTCAAATAGTACTGGTGTTGAAGTATTTAATGCAGAGGCAATGAGTGCTAGTGTTAACATGTGAACTGTAAATGGAAATGCTGCAACAAAAGTCATTATCTCTATTTGTTATTATTGTTTTTAGTGTTTGGTGGGGAGCGCTGGAAGTCTAATGTCATTCTCTCGTCTTTCTTTGTTCCTGGGTAAGTGTAGTCCACTGTTAATATAGTCCAGAACATGAGATGACATGTGACTGTAGTTCCAATACAACACTGACACAAATGTTTTAAACAACTTATAAAAAGCCAACACTGATAAACATTATTACAGTAAGAAAAAAAAAACTGTTGGCTTTAGTCGTTAATTGATCATCTATCCCAAATTGAAAGAAAGCAACCCAACTGTTTCATAGTTGCTGCTATCTGGGACCGTGACCTTGGAAATCAAAGGCACTACCAATCGGCCAAATAGTGTGCTAAATAGATGTTACACAATAGTGCTAGACTTTTCTTTCATCTGGCAGGCACTCGCCCCTGCCTGTCTAGAATTGAAGTTAGAGTTCTAAGAGCAATAAGAGTAATAAGAGTAGAGTAATTAAGAAAAAAACTGTATTCATAAGTCGTTTACTTATTATCAATGAATAACTGATACATAAAAAGAGCAAGATCTCAAAAGCTTCAATTCAAACTCTTAGAGATCAGTGTAAAGTGTAGAGTTCTTTTTATAAGCAATCAAAGTCTGTGGACATTGCTTGCATTAAATTGTGGCATCTGTCAAGGATATTGTGAAGATGTGCTTTAAGTGATATTTAAAACATGAGTTTTTTTTACGAACTACGAGTTTTTTAAATTACTTCTAATACCCAAACCTCTAAGAAACTACAATATTTTAGTAAATAAATAAATAATAAATAAAATTTTAGTAAATAAATAAATAGAATAAAGCAAAAATGAATAATTTATGAAGAAAGCTCCATCTGAGCATGAGCAGTAATCAATTTGGTTTCCCACATCTAAGTGCCACTATGTTTTAGTCTACTATGACTCTGCAATAACTACGTTTAAACTCAAAACCTAGTGAAGTTCTATGATGAGAGTCTAAAACTTTTCTAGTGTTGGGCACACATCGAGTGTCTGTAAATCAGTTATAACACTGATGTCTTATGCACGAGTGTTATAACTAACTGAACCGGTTAGTTATAAAACTCATGTTTAATTAATCAGTGTTTGTAACTTGAGTTATAGGTTC